GCTAGTGTGAAACTCAGTGCCTTTGAATTCACCAAAAAATAAAAAATAAATTCACCCAAGCAATTGAGAGCACAGTAGATTTGTTTAAAAATTGGGACTAAGGGGGTGATTTTTAAGGGAGATTTATATCACATGCTACACAGATCCTTACCAGACAGCCCAGGTCCCCAGAGCTGTTTGGGGCTCTCACACCACTAGGACTTTGCTTCCTCACCCTCTCACGCATGTCAGTGTCCTCTCCCCTCTTTAGATTTGCTCTCCAGAAACAGACTAACAAGCTCCTTCCCCTTCTCTCCTACCCTGGGGGGTCTTACAAACAAGGTATTTCCCCAAACACATTTCAATTCTGATGCCACATGTTAAGATAATGACTTTTTTGCCACCTCCTTACAATTAGAAGGGTCTCCCCCTTAGCTATTTTCTTTCCTTTTTTTACTTAGTAGATATTAGATATCTTACATCTAAGAGAGTTTCAGAGCACACCGCCCTCCCTGGCCTGGATCTAGAGGCAGACTTTTTCTGTAAAGAAGTGGATAGTGAACGAAAGGCCATATGGTCTCCGTCTTTACTAAACTCAGCTGTTAGAGCACATAAGCAGTCCTAAATCATGTTCACCAGCAAGCATGGCTGTGTTCCAATAAAACTTTATTTACAAAGACAAGTGGTGGCTGTAGTTTTTCAGCCCATAGTCTCAAAGAAAGCAGATAGCAGCCTTGATGAACACAAGCAGAGAAACTTCCAGGCTGAAATTCAACCTCCTTAGCTTAGTATCTGAGGCCATTTGCCACTTGCTCATTGTCTCGCTTATTCCTAGAGTAACCCCCACCTCCCTGGCTCAGGTTTGGATGTCCTTCTTTTGAACTTTCTTTGCACCCGGTTAGAGTACTCACATCATTCTGTACTGTTATTTACCAGTCTGAGTTCCCCAAGACCAGAGAGTCTCATTCTTCCTTTCACGTGCCCAGAAGAGCTCAATGCATCGCTAGTACTCAGCTTAGGTTCGTTAAAATAATTCCTGCTTTCTACTTCCTCCTGCGTTCGCCTGTGTCAGGAGTGCTCCTGAGGATACGTGGAAGGTAGGCAGACACTCTCCTTTGAATGAATGACCCAGACAAGGAGTTGGAGGAGATCTTGGTCAATAAGCACAAATGAGTCATCAGTCAATTCTGTGTTTCTAGTGAACTTTCACAACCGAGCTCTTGATCTGCCCTCAGCTGCTGACAGCTATTGTGATTCTGTATCTGAACAAAAAAAGTAGATTTGGTTTATCTGCGCTCACCCTGTCAGTCCGGGGTCCACCAGCCTCAGGCTCTGTTTTGCGGTGCTGAACTGCCTCCTGAAAGGCACCTGGGCCTCAGTTTTCATGAAAAGATGCTTCATAATGATGTGATCTGTTTCATCCTGTCAAAGGCAGGGCGTGGACAAACGTCTCCTGGTTCAGTGTTCTGTGAATTGCTGTTCTCTTTACACCGCATTCTGCATAGTAGCCGCGTTCTAAAGAGGCAGCATGTTTAGAACTTTGTCAGTCAGATGATATGCGACGTGCACCAGAGGAGCATGTTATTTGAAATCATAGTATAGTCTATCCTGTTTATCATGAGGAATTATCCTGGATGTATAGAAAGTCCAAACTCATATTTTCATAGATCAAACTTACTTCAAGGACACACCTGCTTTGGGAGCACAGTTCTCTACAGGACTCAGTGTGTCTGTTCAAGGAAAAAACATGCAAAGAAAATAACCTCTAGGCAGCGGTTCTCAACCTGTGGGTCGTGACCATCGGAAAACACATATATCATATCAGATATTTACATTACGAGTCATAACAGTAGCAAAATTACAGTTATGAAGTAGCAACGAAAATAATTTTATGGTTGGGGGTCACCACAACATGAGGAACTGTATTAAAGGGTCGCGGCATTAGGAAGGTTGAGAACCACTGCAGGGGAAAGAGAGGTAGTTGTCGGTGTGTCTTATCTTAGTTCCTACAGATTAAGATCCCAGGCCCCTGGAATCTTTGCAGGCATTGGGGCGAGGGCGGGGGGTGTGTTTTTAAAAAATTTATCTTTATTGTTGAAAGTATTATACACTTGATCTTAGCCAAAAGGCCGAGAAGCGATGTTGTTGAAAGTATTATAAATGTCCCTCCCCGCCCCCGCCCCCGTTGACTGCTTCCACACCCACCCCCTCCCCAGGCCTTCACCACACTATTGTCTGTGTCCATGGGTTATACATATCTATATAATAATAAAAGTTTAATATGCTAATTAGACTGGATGTCCTTCCTTCTGGACAAAGCCACGGTGGGCAGCGGCCGTGGCGGCGGGCGGGGGCTGCGGCAGAGGCCCCCTGGCCGAGGTGGCGGCGGGCGGTGGCCGGGGCCAAGGCCCTGGCATGAATTTCGTGTCTCGGGCCTCTAGTATGCATATAAGTTCTCTGGTTAATCTCTTGGGGTGGGGGTGTCTTTTTAACATGAGAGAGGCCCCATGCGGCCTACCAAGAACCAGCCCAGATGCCACCTTAGAGCCAAACACCTGCTGAGTTCCCATTCGCCAGTCATAGGTATCTTCCCTGGACCCTTGGAATCAAATATCTAGGGCTGGGCTTCCTCTCACCTGTCATAGGTATTCTCTCTCCTGTTCGATGTCTTCTTCTTTCTCACACAACCTTCCTTCTAGTTCTGGTCAGGAGGACCCTAGGTTTGGTCCATTTGGAAAGTTTGTTGTGAGAAACAAATTACAAGTCTGTCCCATCATCTAGCCAATATCATTTCTATAAAAGTCAGTTCACCTGCTTTAATTCCATTTAACATGTCTGTGGTGACTGCCTGCTGGAAATCTACCTATGAGAAGTCTTCAGAAAGAGGAGGCACAATCCCCATCCTTGGCGAGCTCCCCCTCTACATGGGAGATGAGGCGCATATCACGGGAATTAGTGGCGAAGGCAAGGATGTATAACACAGTTCTCCTCACCAAGAGTGGGCGTGATATGAATTGGTTGGGTAACACTAGTCCAGTAGTGGGGCCAAGCAGGGCGTTCCTCATTGGGCTCTTCATTTTTACTTTCTGAGTTTTTTGGGGGGAGGAGGGGGTGTGAGCCTTTCTGCCTGAGAGAACCAAGGGCAACCTCAGGATCATTTGATTGACTCTGAGCCTATAATTCTTACTGAAGAGTTCCTTCTACTCCTTTTCCTGCGAACAACTCATCCCTTTGGGTCACTGCTACATTTCTGGGGAGAAGTGTGCCTGTTGGTATGCACCAGCAAGGACCAGGAGGCCTGCCTTATCTTAACAACATTTCATTCCGAAGGTCTCTCCTGGAATCTGCATTTGTTCTGCTATTATGCTGTTCTCTGTCCTCTGTCCAGTTAACTCGCTCTTGAGCTCATTTTTACTTTGACTCATTTGGATGTTTCTAGTCTTTCTCAGCTATGGTAGCAAAAAAGAAAGACTGTTCAGAAATTTGACTTAGCCTCAGGAAATATACCTAATCTAGAGACCAAATCAATGACGATTTTTCAAAAATAAACAGCTAAGCACATTGGGGAGTATAAGCCATTGAGCCATCTCTACCACTTGTCTGCGTTGTGATTTCCAGCAAGTTGCTTCTGCTGTCTGGGTCTTGTCCTCCCCATCCCCCCACCTTCATGAAACCAAAGTTATAATTGAGTACTATTAAGCCATGGGAATGTTCTGCAGGAACAATGAAATATAGTAGAAGTAGAAACAGCTTTAGAACTGCCAAAGTCCTAGTTAAAAGTCTTATAGATAAAAGTTATAGAGGAGGCAAAAAAAGAAAAAAAAAGAAAAAGAAAAAGATTCTGTCATAGAAAGTTTGCTTAGCATAACCTGATTCAAATGTCTTTCCTTGTCCTATCCTTTCCCACTGCAACACGTTTTTGTATAATAACCAATAATCACATAATTTACCATGTTTATTAACCTATGTAGCTTATAAGGTGTCACTTCAATTACTGCATTAGTTTAGTTCTCCTGTTCTGATAAATACCATAAACAAATGCTTCTGTGTTTGAGGGCAAAGCATCATTAGTGACTGGTGGAATCACTGAATAAAAGTGACACATTTATTCATGTGTCCTACTCTCTAAATAGCGGATACTCTCCTGTTCCGCCAGCTTAATTATAAAATGCCAAACATAATGTCTTGTCTGTGCCTTGAAAATGACTTGTCTGGTTTATAAAAAGAGCACTTGTATGAATAAATAAAAAATAGGGTCACTAATGCGCAATTAGCATCTAGGGAGCGAGTTCTAAGATACACCATGGAGTGAAAAAAGCCAAGTGCAAGGGAGTATCTAGAGTGTGCTCCCCTTCAGGTGAGAAGGGAGAGGGTACAGGAAATGCACCCGGACCTTCCCATGGCACAAAGGAAACAAACGAGGGTAAACCAGAAACTAGACTGGTTCCCTGCAGAGGTGGGGAGGAAAGATGTAGAAAGGAGTGGGGAGAAGAGAACAGGTTAGTTGGGATGAGGAGGGAGTGATACTTCTGAGTATATTTTTTATACAGCTCTGACTTATTCCCCAAAATAAATAAATAGTTAAAACCAATTAGCATGTGGGAGGAATCCAGAATGGAGCATAAGCAATGAAAAAATAAATAACTTAATTATGAAAGAAAACTATCCCGCACTGAAGGAGGTGAGGAAGAAAGAACTAACCCAAGTAGTTTAAAAACCGGTTCTTTTCACTGAAAAGCCTGAAGACATAAAGAATATTCAGATCCTGTATTCCAGTTAGTAAGTTTGTTTCTCACAGAGCTGGCTGCCAGCACCTCTATAGGGCTCACAGCAGAGGGCTGACTTCTGATGATTACTCATTAACTTTCTGTTGCATTATAGTTTGTAACCATTCTTTCTCTTATTACATCTTTATTTTGCAAGTATACTGGTGGCTGGTAGTGAAGGATGCTGAGGATTTCCGAGGGGTTTGTCTTGTCTATCTGATTAATCCCCGCGGTGGGAATTCGGGTATTTTACAGCTTTTGGATCTCTTCATCCAGTGGGACTGGTCAACCTACCTTGCTGACTACGGTCAGCCCAACTGCAAGTACCTCCGTGTAAACCCAGTGACAGCTCTGACCCTGCTCGAGAAGTGAGTACCCAGCCCAGTGGTCTGTGTGGGGAAGTGGGGAGAGGGGCGTGGGTGTGGGGGGTGGACAATTCCTGAACAAGACAGCAGAGAGGCCCTGTTCCTGAAGGTGCCGTCGGTGCTGTCAGTAGTCTCCATCGTTAGATTTGAGAGGCCAGTCTTCTTGTAGCCTCTTAATTCATGAAACCCACAAGCTAGGCCAAGTATGAGTCAGTTGGACTCTGAGATTACCTTGGAGTTTCATGGGGTGTCATATCTTTAACTAGAGATGACAAGAGAAGGAAGATGCCTTGGTGTGGGGCTCAGGCCAGCCTGGTGAACAGAGTGTGGTGGTGGATAGAATAGCCCCACAGAGCAGTGATCTCTCCAACTCCTGAACCTACTGAAACCTTCACCAGAACTGACTCACTCCACACTGCTCCCTAACAAATTGAGCTTTATTGTGCTGACTGTCCCAAGGAAGCTACGTTGGAAAAGGTATCTAATTCTTGCCTGAGGTAGTCACTAGTGGATAAAGGTTGCTACCACTGAGTTTGGGTGAGTCAGTTCTAGAACATTGCATGGCTAACCATCCTATCACCCACATGCTGGGATCCCCTAGGCATTGCAGCCTGGCTCTGACATTTGCTAACCTCGTTGAGAGCTGGCAGGCCAGAGACGAAGACCCATGTAGAAGGGAAACTTTCTCTTGTCTTCAAATTAATGAACCCCGGCTTCTTAGAAGAGTGTCCTGCATCTAGGCAATGTGGCAAGTCTATGTATATGGCCAGTCAAATCCTAAGAAGGCAAGGACCCGAGTCTAGGAGGTCAGAATGGAGCCTTAAGCAAGAGGCTAGGTGTATCCTTCCCACTATGCAGTGTGACTGGGGTATCGAAGGGGAGGAGATGGAGGGTGGGCAAGAGCAGGATGCAGAGGTATGTGTTTAGAGCCAAGAAACTAGAAGCCCAGAGTGCAACTTTGTCCAGACCGAGACAGAGACTGATATTCCATTTTAACCTTTTTCCCATGGTTCTCTCTTTCAATGACCTTCCTCCCTAGGATATCTAGAGAGTAAGTATATTATTCACTTGGGCCTTTTTCATCACTTTGAGGCAAGTCCTTCTGGTTTCTCATTGACACTAATGATTACACTAAAATCCCTGCCCTGTGAGTTGTCCCCACCCTGACATACTAATCTACTAAACCAGCCTGGTGCCAACTGGCTGGCTGCCTCCTCTACCCTTGGTCCTTAGAGTGACCCTTGGCTTACCAATTCCTTTGGGGCTGGGAGTGGAGGCAGGAGTGTTCCCCCATCAGTGCCAGGTAAAGGGCTGTTCCCACTCAGCTTCCTGATGCACGCAATACTCCTGCCGGTGCAGGGCCTGAAATTCAGCCCCGCCAGAGAGAACTCCTCCGCACCTCCCCGCCTCCTGCTGGTGAGGCCCAGGGCTTTAAGATCTGGAGCCACATCTCCCACAGAAGACTCACTATTAGAGGCAAGACCTAATCCCAGAAATCTCAGTGCCCAGCTAAAATGGGGAACGTGTTGGCTCTTGAGTTGGTGCTTAGATGTCATATTCGTTATATGTCCACCTGTGCCCTGGGATTCCCTTTCAGCCAATGACCCAGAAGTACTGGCCCCTCCACTTCCTGTGGACCAGCCACAGGGTGAATAGCCTGCCTCTCTGAAGCATCCTGGAGGCCCAGCCAGTAACACAGCCAGGTGCTTAGCCCAAGCCAGCAGCGGGGTTTAAAAGCTTCCTTCCAAACATAGTTGAGCCAAAGGCCACCCTAAAACCTGTATTTCCCAGCCTCATAGGAATCATCCCTTTTCCTGGCCTGTTCCTGCCTTCCCTACCACCGGCTACACCAGAGCTTGACTCTCCCCCTCGTCCTGGCCCTTCTTAAGGGCGGGGGGGGGGGGACCCAGAGACCTGGGAGGGCACTCAGGAAGGAGAAGATGCTCCTGGGTCACGGAGCGGTGGCCATAGCAAAGCGGGTCAGGATCTGGTCTCGCGGAAGGGGAGGGCGAGGGCTCTCCTCTGGTATCTGAGCGTCCTACCGACAAACCAGCAGCTGCCGTCCGCCCTCGGGGCCCCTGAGTTTATCTGTCCAGTCATCCCAACTCCAGGCCTCATGACCAAGGAAGCTAACCTCTGAGTCTCAAAGACTCCCCTCTTCTCTCCTACCCATTGGGGAGCTTCCCATGGGAGCCGACAGCCAGCTCCAGCTGCTGGTCTCTAGGTGGTGTGAGGAGTCGTAAAGTGAATGATGACATAGGATATTAAATGAAATGTTCTGTAAATCAGGAAGTGGTTTTCTTCCTTTCTTCTTTCTTTTTGTTTTGTGTTGTCTTTGTTTAGATTTATAGCACAGTTAAGAAATGAAAAGGATTCCTTCTCTGGGTTAAAGAATCTTAAACCAGGACAGTTCCACAGACATAACTGAGGCGTTATGTGGGAAGGACCGAGGACAGTGGTCCTCATGGCCTTGAGGACTCTTGTGCTTTCTTTTCAACCTAAACCTCTGAACCTGTTACCTCTCCTTCCCCCTCCACACACAGGCCTCCTCAGGCAGGTGTCTGTGCCGTACGTGCAGGGTTCTCGGTGCTGTTGCCTGGAGGCCCTTAGGCTTAGATCGGAGAGGCGTCCCACTGTCAGCCAGAGCCGTACAGCGGTGGTGCTCCTCAGAACCTTACACTCGGATATAAATGTCCCGGTGGGATCTCTGGCCTCTCATTTGCCCCTCAGCGCGGGGCCACCTCACAGAGAACAGTGGGCAGCATTGGCCAAAGGAGTGTGCCTGGGAGAGTTTACTCCCCCTGCCGGGTTTCTCCCCCCGCTCCTCTAGCCTGTCTCCTTGCAGCCCAGGGAGCTGTGAGGTCAGGGAGCAGATGATGGAGAAACCCAGCCTACCCCACCCCAGGGAGAAAGTGGTCTGGGCAGTGTTCTGTCTCTGGCACTAGAACTCGCTGAGGGCTAGAAGTCTGGTGTGCCGAGGCTGGGGCCAAAGTTAACAGTTACCAACAGATGCCGGGGGGCATGCATGGGCCTCCGCAGGGAATAGCAGATTCCTGGCGTCTGTGCAAAGTGTAGTCAGACTTGGAGGATGCTGTGCAGCCTCAGCCTGCCCTTGACTTTCTATATCCATGCTTCCCATTGTGTCTCTCCATTGACAGGACCACTGTTCAGAGCTGTCCATGGTCTGCTCGAGGAATATGCTAGGTGTGTGCTCTGGACCGTTAGTGTGGCCTAGTGATAGAAAGTTCTCCAAAGTCAAAGGCCTGAGATCTAGACAGCCATTGAGAACTCAGGCTTCTCTTGCCGAAAGCCCTGGTTTACCGAGTGCGAGAATGGGGCTCATCTCTTTCCTTAGCACCAGGCTCTCTGCCACCTCCCGCCTCTGGGTCCTCACTCTGAGGCAGAGGAAAAGAGATAGGTCCAGCCCTCAACCTTGTTAGGCCTGGAGTAGAGTAGCCAGCTGCAGTGAGGTTTAGAGTTATACGGTGTTATTCTCCTTCTCCTGGAACTGCTGGCTGAGAGCATGTTTCTGCTTTACCTTTCAAATGCCAGCTCTGAGGTCCCAGCAGGTGCGAGACGGCTTCCGAGGTGATAAGCAGATCTTAGATATTCCGTGAGAGCCCTTGACCTCCAGTGCTGTGGCAGGTCCCAGGTTCCTCCCTATAACAGTGTATACCTGGGGATGGAAGGGGATGAAGCCGGGAGGGTGAGGAGGGACCATAGGGGTTAGCCCCTCCACCGCTGGCTCTTGACTGATTCTGAAGGTGGGTGAATTGGGGAGACAGCTTCCTGAGTAATAGACAAGTATAAGCCTGGCGATGGGGAAGCTCTGGACTAAGAAGCTGGGTGGCAGTTAGGGAACACTGTGCCGGCCTACCCTTGCCAGCTCCCCTCCCACCACTGTCCCCTCAAACACTTGCTCTCTTTCTCTCCTTCTCTGTTCAGGATGAAGGACACTAGCCGCAAGAACAACATGTTTGCACAGTTTCGTAAAAACGAGAGAGACAAGCAGAAGTTGATTGACACCGTGGCCAAGCAGCTCCGCGGGCTCATCAGCAGCCACCACTCGTGAAGGCGGCCTGGCTGCGGCCCACAGTCCGGCCCGGGCCTGGCAGGCCCTGCGTTTGTGCATTCTTCTTCAGAGAGAGAAAATGTATTTTTTTAATAACCTGTGTACAGAATCCGCATAACCTTTCCCCATAGTAATAGAGGCACGAGAGGAAGCCAGCACGAGAGACGTTGCTGGGCTGGGACTTGGGAGTCTTCGCTACACTGTCTGTGTCATCATAGAGGTGGTGGTGCCGTCAGTCCTGGACGATGAGCACCTTTCGCCGCGGCTCTGGCGCTTAGGTCTGGGCCTCAGCTAACTATACAAACACAGTGGGCACTTGGCAGTGGAGGGGAAGTGAGCAGGCAAAAGGATGATACAGTATATCCTGTTCACCCCTGGGGACCCCATTCATCCTAGGTGGGGCCAATGCAAGGCCAGGGCCTGCACAGCGTTGCTGTTTAGTGTGGGGAAGGCCACACAGTCCTGGGGGTGCCTCTCCTCCTTCCGCTCTCACTTGCCGGTGACAAGCGTGGCAGGTGTCAAGGTGACAACTTCCCTCTGGTCCCCCACGGAGAGCAGATTCTTTAGCCTGGATCTGGCCCAGTGCTTCTGCTGCTAGTTCTTCTGTGACAGGATAGAGCAGGGGTCCTATCTGGACCCCATGGCTCACTGTAGGGGCCCCAGCCCCTTCCCCATTCATCTCATTTCCTTCTTTCAGGGCGCGGGTCACCAGTTACTCCTCACAGAGTCCCAGACTGGCCTCCCCGCAGTGTCATGGGGGGAGGTCAGATTCCAGAAGTCTGAAAATGGCCCTTACTTGACCCTTAGGTAAAACCTTGAGATTGTTCCTTTGTGTTTTAAAATCAGCTTTCTGGCCACCATCTTTAAAGGAAATGTCACCAGCTCTGCACCATGGGGGCAGCCACTAGTGATGGAGCCACTGTCACCATGAAGGGGTGTCTCCTGGCTAGTGGTTTGCCACCTCTGGCCCAGCCACCCCTCCCTCAGTCGTATCCTGGGTACGGAAGCTCTAGCTCTGGCCCCAGGCTCCCATCCCCTTCTGAGACCCCCACAGCCATCTGTGGGCCTTGTCTGAGAAACACTATCTATGATCCTAACCCCCAAACTCGGGAGCGAGCTCAGAGAGCCGCACCCACCAGCTCGGAGACTGTCCGCTGGCCCCGCTGCTCCTGAGGCTTATGCAGGGGCTGTGCTGTGAGGCCACTCAGAGGAGCCTGCACTTTGAGACACTTCAGGAAGTTCCCATTGGGGCTCCTGGCAAGAGTATAATTGCGCATCACAAACAATTACAAGTGAGCCACACAGGTATTTCCAGCCGGGCTATGTGAGGAGACACTCCCATGTCCCATCAAACAGAATCCTCGCCTCCTTTGTCAGCTGCCGAGTCGCTTCTGGGGAGGGCAGTGCTTCCTTTGTCATTCCCCACCCCCAGCCCCTCCTTCACTCATCACGACTGGAGAACACCGGGAAGAGCATATGCAGGGACACGCAGCCTCCTCCAGCCGGGACCGGGCTGCGCGTGTGCTCGCTCTGCAGGTGCCTCCGGAGGCGCCCCTGGGCTGGGCGGGTGGGCCAGGGTCTCAGGAGGAGGGTTGAGGAGGAGTGCTGCCCCCAGAACTTCAAAGGCCAAGGAAAGGCAGGGGCCCGTGGGAATGACACCAAGATGCCATCTCCCAAGCCTTGGATTTTATTGGAAAAAGCCAGGAACGGTGACACTAATCTGAGTCCGGTTGCTTAAAAGGGACCCAAACGCCCTCCTTCCCTCTCCTCGGTTTGCAGCGAGGTCCCTGAGCTTTGAGCACCGAGACTGTGAGGCGGGAACGGGGTGGACCTTAAGCGCACCAATGTTTGTCTTTTTGCCAGCATTGCTGGCCTGGTCTCAGACCTGCCCCTGGAAAGACTGCTAGAGAGGAAACCTAGGCGGCGAGAGAGGGTTGTCCTGCCCTTTGCTCACAGCCCTGCCTCCAAGGAAAAGCCTGTTCAAGCTCAAGGTGACCCTGTGGCAGCTCTCCTCTCTCCCAGCCCACCTCCGTCTGAGCTGTCTGTAGACACACTGTTCCCGGGCACAGGAAGGTAAAATCAGGGGCCAGCAATGCCCAAGTTTGCGTTGGTGAAGCAGGATTTTCTACTTTTGTCTGGAGGCCTCTCACTGGGCCAGCCCTTGGGAGGACCTGTGCCCAAGCCCCTCAGACTCCGGAGCTCTGGCCTCAGATGCCCGGAGATGCACAAGTGCCTGGAGCCTCAACAAGAGGGCGAGAACATGGGTGGCTGGGAGCCTACCAGCCTTCTAGTTGGCATAAACCCTTGGCCAAGTTCTTGGGGGAACCAGGTTCATGTTTCTGAAAGGACAGTGTGGTTTGGGACCCTGAGGTTTCAGTAGTAACAGAGGGACCTTGCATAGTTTTAACATTCGGCGGGAAGTCTCTCTGAGTAGATTGTAAATGAAGCTGTTGGTCGGTGGGGAAAGCAGGACCTGGAACCTGGAACCGGCAGAATCCCTGTTGGCAAAGGGAATGCAGAGCTTCCGGGGAGCGATCCCCAGTGTCTCCTGGCCTCCGCCGCCTCGCTGCCCTGCACACCTGGCACGTGCTTGCTCAGCAAGTCCAGACCCAGGGCCCTTTGTCCCCGAGATTGGCACTGGCCAGGACCTTCCTCTGAGGTCCCTGAGCACACGCGCTGGGCCCGCTGCAGAAACCCCCTCAGCCTCCCTCCTCCCAGGGCTCTGCTCCTGGCGGCTCAGTTGCCTCTTTTCTTTTTCTCTTTTTTTTTTTTTTGCCTAAATTCACAATTCCTTTTCACTCATATGTTGGAAATGGCCTTTTTATTTTGCACAAATAGTTGCACATTTACTACAGAAATTTAGGAGAGTCCATTTTTAACTCTAAAGGGAACTTTTTAAAAACTGACTAGTAAAGCTACTGAGGCAGATGGGCCTCCTGGTTATTGGAGAACCTCCTGTGTGTAAAGAGCATGTCATTCCTCCTGTACATTCTCCTCTTTCACCTGCTATTAAAGGAGAAAGCCTCTGCCTGTTTCAGAAGCCACGTGCTGTCTCCTGGTGTTTGTTCTCCGCCGTCTTTGCACAGGGCGCCCGCGGTTGGATGGCAGGCGTTGCACCGGGGACTGGAGCAGCCACGCCTGGCGGGGAGGACAGCCTGCCCTCAGACAAGCAAGGCGCCCTTGGAGACACCCCGAGCTCCTGGTTAGGTTTTCCTGTTTGTGCGTTCACACTGGCATCCTCATCAAGAGGAATGACCTTTGAAATGCCTGATGTATGGGGAGCACCGGGCGAGGCAGCGTGGGCCCAATGTGTTTGGGATACCAGGCCCCACCATGGGAAGGTTCCCAATCAAGACAGTGATGCCGAACAAAGCTGAGGGGGGGGGGGGCCTGTTCCAGAGCTCAGGAGGGGAGGGGGCAGGCCTCACGGCCCGCTGGAGAGACAGTCTGGTCAGGGAAGGCAGCTCAGAGAAAGCAGGATGCTAGTAGGCTGGGCCTTGAAGGAATGAAATTCAAACTTAGTTAAGCCATGGGAGCATTTTAGGTGTAGACACGTTAGAGTGAAAAGCCGGCGTGAGCCAGGTATATGCCCGGAGGACGGTGAGGAACCCGGTGGGCACATCTGAAGCCTCGGTGAGTACGGATGGAAGTGGCACAGCAGCGCCCAGCCGGCCTGTGCCCTCGGCTGGCGTGACGCCGTGGGAATAGGCTGGGAAGAGGTCTGGATATTGCAACGGGGCTTTGATGCCTGAGCCGGGCTTCGGTCCCGGCTACACCACTCACGGGCTGGACGGCCTTCAGCACCTCCCCAACCCCAATAATCCTTGTCAGTGAGAGAACAGTCGTCCCTAACTTACAGGCTGCGGTGAAGTGTGAATGAGCTGGATGGTCAAAACACTTAGCCGGTACCTAGACATAGTCCTGTATTTAAGGCCTTTCCCTCGCTCCCCTCCAATTCCATAACTTCCCCTGTGGCTGAGCATCGGACAAATCTCTTTGGAAATGTGGGTCTCCAGTGAGGGGCGCCAGGGCTCTGAGCAGTTGCCTCCTCCCTCTGCCTCTAGTGATTGATGGCAGGAGCGTCTTCAGGACCTGGGACTCCGGCACCTGCCTCTTCCAGAAGCCCCCACGCGAACCCCAGGTCCTACCAGAAGGCAGTGCAGCCATCATTCCTAGCTTTCTCTCCCCACACCAGCGGAGGGAACCCAGGGGGGCATGAGGCCCTGCCCTTCTGAGGATACAGACACTCCCAGCTGGTTGGGGAGACTGCAAACAAGAGGGTCCAGCACAGGGGCTTGGGGTTGTCAAAGCCACAGCGAACCCGACTCACCCCAAAGCTTCTGAGCACTGCCTGGCGCAACGTCTGGCCCAAGGCCTTGTCCACAGAAGGCCCTGCAGCCTGGAGGTGCTCTGCGGGAGGGGGGGGCGGATGTGAAGCAGCCACCGCTCGCCCCTTTTCTCACAGCCAGGCTTATCTGCTCACCAGGCAGATGGGGTGGGGACTAGAAGCAGATAAGAGGAGGGCGGGAGAGAAAGTGCCAGACCCTTTCCCCAAAGGCCTCAGTTTTGAATTTAATGGGCAGTGTTTGCTGGAATGAGAGAGGCTTGGGGACCCCAGGGACCAGAGGACAAAGACTGGAGGAAGTGGAAGGAGGAGGAGGAGGGAAGTGGGGCCTGGGCATTGTGTGGGAGAGCTCCCCCTCTATCTGTTTCAATCGCTGGTGGGGTTAGGGTTACCCTGCACTTGGGGCCCAGCTGCTCGATGGGGTCGGTGGCGTCAGCCATTGTGATGGTAATGGGGGCCTCCCACAGGGGCGCCCTTCCATGGCCAGCCACACAGGGACCCCAGAGAGGACCACGGTGCTGTCCCCTCGGGTGGGGCAGGATGTGGCCCAGAATGGACGCAGGACAACAGCCCCCTCCAGTCCGAACCCCTGCTAAGTGTACCTTCCAAACCCAAGCTCTGACCTTCCTCTCTCCAGAGCTCCAGAAAGGGAATGGAATCTGAACATTGAGACGCCTTTCTGGCCCTAAACAATCCTTCCATTCTCTCTGCTCAATGATGGGCCTATTTCCCCCTGTAAATAGGTCTCGTAATCTCCAACTCTTACCTTTGCTTCTACGGTAATTAATTGGGTCTCCCTCTTGTTCTCCTCACACACTCCGCTCTCGGTTACAGGCTCAGGTTCGGCGGGCTGGATGGCTTTTCTTTCTGTTCCATGAAGTGCTTATTTTTAAAGCGGATGGAGTAAGGCCCTCCCCAGTGAACCCCTTCTCCAGAGAAGCCTGCTGGGGAAACCCCCTTCCGCGGGCACAGCCAGGGACCCCGGACTGCCCAGCGAAAGGCCTCCAGAGCCCCATCTGAGCAGCCATGTCCAAGGTTGTAAGGAAGATTCCAGGAAGGGAATGTTCAGTGACCCCCTCAGGAGCCACATGGAGACAGAGGGAGGCAAAGATGGGCATCAGAGGAAGATCAAAGTTCAAAGAGTTCCCCCACCACAGCCCCAGGGTGCGGGGACCAGCAGGGCCTCGGGTGCAAGGCAGCATGAGGGCCTGCCTGTAGGCAGGAGGGTGGAGATAGAGCCCAGCCTGGCCTGGTGAGGGGGCCGCTTCGGGGCGGGCCTGCAGCAGGCAGCTGCGCCCCAGGGAGACTGAGGGTGTCTGGATTTACGAGCGCACTTGCCGGATGCTTCCTCTGCAACCGAGATCTCAGAGGCAGGACCCACATCATACACCTGATGCCCTGCAGCCCCTGCCCAGCGAGCGGCGCCTGGGCCTGAGACCAGATGAATCGCACGTGCAGGGGCACAGTCCCTGTGAGAGCAGCCTCCCTGCTGGGGGCAGTATTCTGTCATGGACCTGTTCTGAAAGCATATGGTGATCATAGAAAACAAACCAACTTTAAGTCCGTTTTATTATGGTTTTGAAATTCCCTACACACGTGGACCACCCACTCCCGTGGGCCCTGGAGCAGGGAACAAGGTGAAACAGCCTGAGTCCGGGGAGGAACCGGAGCGCAGCTCACTTCCCCACCGGCAGGATGTGGTGGGGCGGTGACAGTGGCTCCATGTCTCCGTGTAGGTCCCGGGGCTCCCCCCTGATCCCCAATCCCACTCCCCACATATAATCTCTGCCGACAGGATGGCGATGTTCTTCCAGGTCACTTCAATATGGAGATACTGACTTTTTCCCCCACACAAAGTTATATTTTCTCTCTCAATGTGTCTTACACGTCTTTCATGGCAACATATGGGATTTCTTCATCCCTTACGAAGCCCGTAAGTACTTCCTTTAAGGCATAGGTGTACGTTGAGTTTATTTAACTAATTCTGAATTGATGAATATTTGAGACATAACAGTATTTCACAACTAAAAACAGTATCTTTGCCTTCTTGCTTAGGGGTTTCTATAGCATAACATTTCAGGAGTGGAATTGATTGGCTAAAGGCTATAAATATAATAAATGTTAATAGAAATACCGTGTAGTACTCTTTTGAAAATCACTGATTTACACCACCCTCTCCCACAGGACATGAGTTTGTTTCTCTGTATCCTCAGCCCTAAGTAATATCCATATTTTTCCTTCTTCCCAACCTTATATGTAAAAAATGTTGACATTTTGTTTTATTTACATTTTTTAAAGTGAGCATAAGCATCTATTTGTATTGTTTATTGGCCATTTGTATTTCTTCTTATTGGAAGTGGCTATAGTCTGCCTCCTTTTTAAAAAATTAGGTTGTTTCCTTTTTCATATTTATTTGTAGCTCTTTGTTTATTAGGGCTTTAATTATTTTGCAAATATTTTCCCAGGTTGTCTTTTAACTTTGTTCAGGATCCACTTAGAATTTTTTTTTTTAACAGGGAACAAAAACCAACTCAGAAAAGTTGATACTTTTGACAGCAGCGAGGCCATTCTGAATCTCACTTCCCTCCGGGTGGCTGAATGGTTCTAGTTTCCCAGTCTCACATCTCCACACCACACTGCGAGGAAGCAGACGCCCGGGGGCCCCTCCGAGGAGTGAGGCACCTTGTCCCATGAGCCTCCTGTCGTGAGAGCCCTGAACTGGATTCCAGGTCATTCCTTTCCACCAGGACCACGCCTAGGCGTTGCTGTTTAGACCAGGGTTACCTGAACCGAATGCTGTGGCAAGGGCCCCAGGATTACCTGGCAGGTTAAAGCAATCAGTTCTCACCCCTGCAATTTGGAGTAAAGAGGTGTTCATACTCAGCCCCCAAACTCACTGCTTGGCAGCTATGCAATGGGGAAACGGTGGGAAGAATACTGAGAAGACACCACAATCCTGACCACCTGGTGTTTTTTGCCATATAGAGGTTTTTTCGGTTTTGCAATGTCAGCTTATCAGACTTTTCCTTTATAATGTTTAGATGCTATGTCATACTTAGATTTCCCCTTCAAAGTTATAAAAAAGTTGACCCATGTTTCCTCCTGAGAGTACATGTTTAACATATTAATCATTTATCAACTTGAAATGCACTTTGAGGTGAAGAATGTGGAAGGTGCCCCCCCCCCCGCCCCAAATGGCTAACCAGTTGTCCCACAACATCCCTGACTCGTTTTTAAACATCTTTATCACACATTAAATCCTCATTGATCCTGGGGTCTGTTTCTGGATTTCCTTTCCTGTCCGAGATCATTCTGTTTCTGAGTCATTACCACATTGATTAATGACCATATCTTTGTAATCTGTTTCAATATCTAGTAGTCCCTTCCTCCCACATCATGCTTTTTTTTAGAATGTTCCTGAACAGGGGTGAGGATATGGAGACATGGTGGTAGGAAGATGAAGTGATACAACTATAGAAGGCAGTTGGGTGGTGGAGATCCCAACCCTTATCTGCAATCCGTCATCCAGAAGCTCTGGAAACGGAAAGTTCTTAACTCATTCAGTGGCAAAATCTGACCTGATGTGAAGCTATTTATTGTCTTCATCTCCCATCACAAGGATATTTATATTTTTCACCACAGAAAAAGTAATATATTGATTATGGAATACTTCCCCAAACCCTGCTGAGAGTGTTATAT